TCCGGAGGATGAGGCCCAGAAATCAGGATTTTAAAAAGATTCCCAGGTGATTCTAATGTGCAGCCAAGGTTGAGAACCACTGACTTAAGTGGTTCCTAAAAGTCCTTTTTTGTAATTCATGAGGGAAAGGGGTGAGGAAAGAGAGGTGAGGGGAGAGGGGAGAGGGGAGAGGGAGACTGTCTGCCTCCTGCACATGCCCGGAGCAGGGATAGAATCCAAAATCTAGTTATGTATCCTGACAGGGAATCCAGCAACCTTTTGGTGCACAGGGCAATGCTCCACCAACTGAGCAATACCAGCAAGGGCTTTTGGTCGCTCTTAAATTAGAGCTTCCATTTTACATTCAGAAGACTGCACTTTGGAGCTAACATTTATTTCACTTTCCAAGAATTTCTTCTTTAATTTGTTTCCTAAAACATAATTCAAGCTAGAAATGTGAGCCTCAGATACAGCATAAAACTTCTAGAAGCCTCATTAAAGAATAGCAAAAAGAAACAGGGGAAAGCAATTTAAATCAACCAACTATACCCAAAATATTATCCTTCTGAGGAGACAGAGGGAAACTAGGTAGTCAGGAATAGGGACCATAAGGAAGTAAAACTGGGGAATCCAACTAGGTGGAATTGCTAAGGCAACCCAGCTGGGCATGGAAAGAAGGGCATACGAGAGAGACAGACTAAAATGTATGGATTGTTGCTAAAGACAAGCAAGTTGCAGATAACCAATCACAAGGCAATAAGACATATAACTCAATCTCAAGGATGTTGCTAAGACAAAATTCTTTGAAAAGACCAATCAAGAACTAGCAAGGCTGCATCCACCCTTAAATTAAAAAGTACGAGCTCCTCTTCTCCCTCTCCCCAATGTGCTAGATTCTTGGGTTGATAGAAGGAGACATGTTCCCTTTTGCCCACGTGGCTTATGGCCATGTGGGGCTCTACGAATGGACTAATAGACTTTAACACCTGACTGTAACATGGGAAGGAAGCTCTGGACACTGGCCTGCTCCTGGAACCCCAGCTGCACCTTTTCTAGGACTGGCTTCTCTCAATAAACTTTGCCTCTGTTAATTGGTTTTGTCCTCGACTTCATTCTTTGATTTCACGAGACAACAAACTCGGTCTCAAACCCCACATTTTGGTTTCACTTTCAACATTTAATCAATATAAAAATTAATATTCTTTTGTACTGAGTCTTAAAACCCAGTGTACTTTGCGCTTACACATCTCAACGGATGTCACATTTTAAGTGCTCAATAACCATATGTGATGAGTGGATACTGTACCAAGTGGCACAGCCAATGATATAAAGAAATGTGAGATAGAATTGTTGTCTGCAGGAAACTTACAAAATAAACAGGAGACTAAAAAGCAATTATAAAAATAAAATAACAATAAAGGTTACAAAGTAATATAACTTCTGAGTAGGAAATACAATACGTGCTATGGATGTAGGGGAGGAAGTGCTCCCTGTGGGATGGAGTCTTGTCAAGAACACGGGCCTTGATCAGGTACAACCTGGAGAGAAGCTTGGGGAGCCTGAGGGGAGAGGGGAGTAGGAGGGACGAGGACTTGGCAGACAGAGCAGTAATGTGGGAAAGCCAAGAGAGAAGTCTGACCAGAAGAGAGAAAATTAGCCGGCCTTAAGAAAAGAACCTGTGCTAAGAACTCTGGAAAAGAATTTGAAAAACCGATGGTGAAAGTCTGCCAGGAAGGATTTTTGAATAGGGGAATGACATGATGAAAGAGTTGTTTTAAGATCAATCTCAATATATGAAAATGCTGTGATCCTGGACAGGAAGGCTGAACATTATAATGCTGTCAATTCTACCACAAATAAGTTCTAGGTTTAAAGTCATTTCAACTTAAATCCCAAGGTTACTTTAAGATTATCTGGAATAAATGGGCATGGACAATGAAGAAACTTTAAGAAAAAAAAAAGAAAGAATATTTGCCTACCTGATTTAAAAAGATATAATAGTATAGCTAGGACAGAAGATTAGATGACCACATTAAAAGAAAAAAAAATGAAGTATAGAGAGAAGTGGGTCATAATCTATAATTATGAAATAATATACCCCACGGTGGCATTTGCATTTCTTTTCTGGTAATGTCCTTAGCCCATTTTTTTGTTGTATTGGGTTATTCACTATTTTCTTATTTATAAAAGCTTATCATGTATTCAGAACACTAACCCTTTGTTAGTCAAATATGTGGTCTTTTGTGGGGAAGCACGGGACTTGGTTGGAATGTCTGTAAGGAGGATTCTCCGAAAGGTCGGGGGCCTCTGGGGGGACCTTGACGAAGGCAGCAGCCTCTACCTTGACTTTTCCAAACAAGTCTGCCCCCCCAGGTGTTTTACTAGAATCTTTATGTTTAGACTTCAAAACGTCCTTGTTTAAAAGACACTACATTTGCAGGCACTTTCTCAAGGATGGTTACCCTGCTGATTGTATCTAAAGGTTAATTTTAGTTCAAGCTGTTGTGACAATAAAAGCCTAAAGGAGGCAGGTGAACAGGGCCGTTTGCTCCTAAAGCAAGCAGCCCCTTAGCCCTCTCTTTCACAGAAACGTGTGTCAGAGTAATCATTCATCCGTCATTCAGGGTCTGCCAGTCAGCTCTGGCAGTCTTTTAATGTTCTTTGATATACAGAATATTTAAATGTTTTATTTGATGAAATTATACCAACCTTTTATGTTACAGTTTCTACTCCTGAGTGAGGGGACATAACTTAGAAATACTTCTATTATATTCTAGAATTTTAATTTATTTTTTACATTAAAATGTTAAAATGAAGTTAATTTTATTGTAAAGAATGAGATGGAGCTGTAACTTATTTTCATAATGGTTTGCCACTGATTTAAAAACATCCTTTTCATATATTTAATTATTAATTTATTTAGGCTTGTTCCTATACTTCTTTTGTTCCACTGACCTGTCATTTTCTGCAACAATACCACACTTTACAATTTTTAACACTTTAGAACATATTTTAATATTTGACAACACAAAGCCCACGTCCTAGGATAAAAATGGGAAGAAAATTCCAATATTTTATTCACCTTAGGTCCAAAGTCTACTTTGATAGAATACTGTGTTCTTATTTAAAAAAACACTCATATTAGAGTTTGTAAAGCACAGGCTAAAAAAAATGTGTCAAATAGCCTGGCTGGTGAAGCTCAGTGGTTGAATGTGGATGCATGTACCAAGAGGTCCCAGGTTCAATTCCCAGTCAGGGCACATGCCTGGGTTTCGGGCTCCTTCCCCAGTATGAAACTGCAGGGAGCAGCAGATCAATGTCTCTGTGTCATTGATATTTCTCTCTCTCTCTCCCCCTCTCCCTTTCTTTCTCTTTAAAATCAATTAAAACTTTTTAAAAAAAGTTTCAGTTAAATTATTAGTGCTAAAATTCTCTTATAAAATCATGTGATAATGTTTGACAGGATATACAAAACCCCTTGTTGTATAAGAGCTACACATTGCCCCAGTGTTACCCTTTCCTGTGCAAAGCTGGACCTTCAGACTGATACACTGCACTAGGCTGAGCTGTCAGGCTGCAGATACCTGAGCATGTCCTTCTGTGCCTGCTCTGGGGACTCCGTGTCATCTGAGTTGCACTCCCAAGTCCACAGGCTCCCTTAGAGTCTTGGTACCTGGGAATACAGCGGTGGTAGCACACCGGCTGTGCTGTGACCTGGAGTTTGTTTCCAGTGTTAGACAGAAACCCAAAGTGGGACACACAGGCTCCCCCTAATGGCTTTTTCCTGCTAAAACATCCCCTCATTACAGTTTCCCAAAAGATCTTGGCTCTTCTAACTTGTTTATTCTTCTGGACCGGAGGATGCACACCACTCTCTGTAGTTAGGGGAGTTATGGTACATTAGAGGATTTTACATAGACAGGCATTCCTCACTGTCTGAATGCTTGCTACATGTTACCTGAAACCCATGGACCAAATACACTTGGATAACTGACAGTCTTCACCATCTGAACTCAGGAACTATAAAGACTCAGACAGTAAGGGAGCGATACAGTAAGGGAGTATCATGGGGGCTAGGATATTTTGGGGAAGAGCCCATTGGTCTCCATCAGTAGCTGAGATTAAGAACAATGAGGATAAGTAGGGCTTCCCAGGGTCCTTCTACTGGGTCTAGCAAGCCCGAGGACTCAGAGACTGTCCTGACAAGACCCATAAGGCATTGAGGGGGTGGCAGAATCATCAAGATGAATCAGATCAGATCAGGACATGGGTGCACTGTAAGCCAAAAAGATTATTCTGGGGGAAAAAATGAGGCTATTGGAGGGCTTTGAGTACGAGAATCACATTTGTTTTCTGTGTTTTAAAGATCATTTTGGCTGCTGTGCAGATGAGGCTAAACTAGAAACCAGGGGACTAATAGTCCAGGCAGGAGATGATGGTGGTTTGGGATTGGATGGTAGTAACGGAGGTGGTGACAAGTAGTGAGGCTCAAGATGTATTCTGAAGACATACTGAGGTCTGACTAATGTAATAGATGGGAAGTGAGGAGGAGAGTGAGGCACTGAGCGTTCCTCTAGGTTTCTGGCCTGAGTAAGTGGGTGAATGAAATGGGGCAGGCTGGTGGTTGAGCAGGTCTGGAGTGTGTGGGTCTAGAGGGGAAACAAGAGTTCTCTTTGGGACATCCTCAGTTTGAAATCACTCCAGGCATTGATAAAGTTGGTTATGAGAGTCTGGAGCCTGGGGAAAAGGTCAGAATGGAACTCCTCATCTTGCACTCCGTATATACACATACCAGCTGAATGAAATGTTCAACTGCTTGACCTGTGGTTGCCACATGTTTTTGGCTGATGCTTTTATTCATGTCACCACCTGGCTGGAACACCCTTTCAACCTTTCTCTCGCTGACTGACTCACCCTTTAAAACTAAGATCCACGTACTCGCCTCCAAAAGGCTTTCTGGGAACAGCAGGTTGTCAGGAGCCGCCCATGCGTGCCTCTGAGGGCTAACCAGGTCAGAAGCGAGCTGCCCACTAGGTGCTCTGTATCCCCAGCTCTCGGCCCGAGCTCGGCACGTGGTAGGAGCTGTGCTCCTGTTTAAGGGAGCGGCGCGCTCAGGCTTGCTTCCCTTCCCTCGTGGAGAGAGCCTCTGAGGCCCTGGCTACTAAAGGTAGAGCAGGGGTGGTTCCAGAGTCACATTCCTCGGAAACTTCCCAAACCGCTCCAGACTAGCGGGCCACTGCCCCGCTCCCCGCACCTCTCCGACGGTTTCACAGCCGGCGGAGCCGCCGGAGAGGAGCCCCGGAGCTCGCCTCCGTCTGCCCGGGCGCCAGCACCCGCGCCGGGCAGGAGCCATGCGCCGCCCCCCGCAGGGGAGAGGTCGGGGAGTTCTCCCGGCCACTGCGGAATTGCCCCGGGGCCCCCGGAGGTGAACGCCGGGGCGCGAACTCCGAGGGGCCACACGCTGCTGGGCCAAGACCGTCCACGCGGCCTCGGCGGCTCGGGAGACGGGGTCCAGGCCCCGAGGGGCCGCGCCCGAGTGAGGTCCAGGGCGGGACCGGTGTCTGCCGGCCCGCGGCCTGTCCCGCCCCCGCCCCCGCCCCCGCGGCATCAGGTACTCACCGTTGGGGCAGAGCAACGCGTCCGGCGCCTCAGACCCCCGGGGCCCCTGGGCGTCGCCGGCCGAAGCAGGCCGGGGCGGCGGCGCGCGGTCCGCGGCCGAACTCTCGCCCATGCCGGCCGCTGCGCTCGCGCTGCCGGAAGCCCGCTGCCGCTCGAGTGCCCGAAAGCCCGGAAGGGCTCGTCCCCACGCCCGGGGGGTTTTCCCCGGCAGCGAGAAGAAACGAAACCCAGCCGGTCCCTGGGAGGAGAAACGAAACCCAGCCTCGGGTTTGCAGATCGGCTTCTCTGCCAGACAGGAGCCCTACCTTCTCCAGATTCGAGTTTGAATATGTATTTTTTTAATCCTCCTCCCAGGACGCAAGGGGCCAAAGCTCCTGTGTTCAGTTGGAGAAATGACCGCTTTTCTGAGAGGTTCACCTTTCTTTTAACACTTTTATTAAATTGATATACTACACAGGTATATCATAAACGGACACAATTAACGAACCGTAACTGCAGTTACCAGTTGCAAGCCTTTATTTAGCACCCATGGGGTACACAGCACCATACAAGAGGAGGTTTTCAGTGCATGTTAACAAATATACCGGTAGAGAACATACAGTTGAAATTAAGTTGTTCTGGAAAAGAAGCACATAATGGTGAATTGCTGAGGAATTAAAAGAAAACTTCTGGAGATCTTGCAATGTGAGCAAACTTTAAAGAGGAAAAGAGGCAAGTTGGGGACAGCAGAAAAGAGAATATTAAAAACGATAAGCTGGATAGTCTTGACAAATACATAAATGGATTGCAGAAGCAAGAGCATAGGGCTGCAAAACAGGAGAAAAAAAAGGGAGGGACTCCTACAGCCAAGTTTATTGCATCTCAAGCAGGTGAATAGAAGAATTACAAGCACAACCCATTTTATTGCGCTTAGCTTTATTGCACTTTACAGGTGTTGAGTTTTGTGGGTTTTTTTTTACAAATTGAAGGCAAGACCTTCCATCAGCAAAAAGATTACCACTTGCTTTACTATGATACTTGCTTCATTACGGTATATTACCAAACTGTAATATCTCAGAATTAGGCCTTTATTCCTTGCCAAACAGGAAGTCCTAAAGAAACTGAATTAGAGACTGAATAATTTAGCTACCTAAGTCATTGTGAAACATTTGAAAAACACCTTCCACCACTCTCAGTTTATCATTCTGGTGTTCTACTCTTAAGCAGTAGTAGACCCTATCATCACTGAGGAAAGCCTGTAACACACACACACAAAAACAAAGACCAAAGGAAACATACAGGGAAAACAAATAAATGAAACTTAGCGGTCACAAAAATATGCATGAAGAAAATATAAATGTATGTGTTCAAAGATATACTACAACCAAGAACCAAAAAAAGATGCTATTAAAGAACATTCAGGGAAGAAAAAAGAGCCCTAGAAATAAAAAAATCTGAGACCAGAAAAATAAAACATATTAGACTAATTAGAAAATTAAGTTGATGAAGTCTTCTAGAAAGTAGAGCTAGAAGACAAGAGCGGGAAATTAAGAGAAAAGATAAGAAAATAAGAGAACCAATCCTGGAGGTCTACCATCTGGGTAACAGGAATTCTAGAATGAGAGAACAGATGAGCAGTCATTAAAGAAAATATTTCCCTGAAGGACAATGTTTGAAAGACCCCACCAAGCACCCCATATAAGGGATGAAAATGAACCCTTACCAGGAACAGAACATTGGGACAAAGTAATACTATAAGCTTCTAGAGAGATAAAAACGGGTTGCATATACAAAAAGAACAGAATGGCATCTGACATCCAATAGTCACCCTGGATATCAAAGCAAGAATGTCTTCAAACGTCCCAGCAGCAATACTGAAAGTTTAGCAGATGCCTTCAAAATTGGGAATGGAGGCTACTCAAGAATTCTATACCTTGTCAAAATAGCAAACAAGTGTAGTGGTACAACAATATTTTCTTTTTTAAAAAATATATTTTATTGATTTTTCACAGAGAGGAAGGGAGAGAGAGAGCCAGAAACATCGATGAGAGAGAAACATCGATCAGCTGCCTCCTGCACATCCCCCATTGGAGATGTGCCTGCAACCCAGGCACATGCCCCCGACCGGAATCGAACCTGGGACCCTTCAGTCCGCAGGCCGACGCCCCATCCACTGAGCCAAACGGGTTTCAGCGTACAACAATATTTTCAAACATGCAAGGTCTCAAAATATTTACCTCTCATTTTTCCTTTTCAAAAGGTATTGAAGGATGTGCTTCACCAATATGTGGAAGTAAACCAAGGAAATGGGAAATAATGGATGTAACTGGAAACAGATTTGACACAGGAGAGAAAAAGGGGGTCTCTAGGACACTGATGGAAGATGATAGCTGTAAACCAACACAGACTGAAGCAGATTAAGATACCAGGATTTCTACACAAAAATATTTCCCATGCTGATCAAGTGTCTTCACTTCATTTTAGTGCAATGCCTAAAATTCTTGCCATCTTTACTGTGAATAAATGGACTGCTCAACTTTTCTCATCAATCTACAGGCTGCTGAGTTATAATTTTTTGCTCTTTCTCGTTCTTTGGTTCCCCATGCTCTAAAACAATTTCAAGTTAAATTTTCACCTAGTTCAATATTTTAAAGAAATTAAATTGGGTCTAAACTTAGAATGAACTTTGAAAGGTAACCAAACTAAACCCCGCAAGTTCAGAAAAAAAAAGAAAACCCAAAAACAACATGATCTCTCAAAAATGAGACCTTTTATTTACTCCTTTTTGAGCTAGTATTCCCATCCTGGTTTTAAGGGGTAAGTTCCTGACAGCCGAATATACAGTACAGTACACCTTTGTTAAGGAGAAATCAGTTTTAACTATTGGAGATTTCCAGCCCCCTTTCCACTAGGCCAGCGCTAGGTAACCTTCCCTTTTCCTCTAGAAAACCAATCTGCACAACATGCTCAGGAGAATGCAAAAGGATGTTTCAAACTTGAAGCTCAGTTGTTCTGTTTTTTAAATGAAACTCTTGCCCAGCACAATCTCTTCTAGTCTAAATAAGCCAAATCTGACTAATTTCCTGTTTTCTTTTTCTATGGCTCAATCTAGAACAAATATCTTCCAATTCCTCTAGGTTTCTATTCCCTCTTTTCCTGTCTGTGTTAGTATTAAAGGAATAACGAGAATCTATTGGAAAGCAGTTTCACCTCAAAGAGTTTGCCAAACTCTTCTCTATTGAAGGGCTTCTCACCCTTTCTCACTCAAGTGGTTTAATGCGACAGTACTTCATGGAGCTATATTCCTCACGCTATTGTCAGGAATTAAACATAAATAAATTTTGTAGGTAAAGTCATGAAATGTGGCCATTTGGATCCATGAACTCAAAGACAATAATAAAAAACAATTAAGAACAACTTAATTATATTGTAACATTTGTTTCTCTTAATATATAGCTTACAAATAAATTACAAGTTATATAGCAGTATTTCATAGAAAAGACATACTTCCATCTTACTCATGTAAAGTTGAATAACGGTAAGAATCAAGAGATACCCTATGTGTATGAAACTGTCCTTATTTTGTTCCTAGCATTTCTAAGTCACACAGATGAACTCCCTGACAAGAGAAGACTGAGGAATTCTCTTCATGAATCAAAAACTAAATTCCACTGACAACTGAGCATCCTTTTCTATGGCTCTAATTTCAGCTTGAACAGCTAGTTTCATGAACAGGCATTAGCTCCAACATTTATAGTATTTTTTTCCTGCACTTATTAACCCCACATTGGCAGAGGATTTCTTTATCTGGCACAGTTCCAGGTTCATAACCATAATCCCATGTTAATTCTGTTCTTGCTTTCACATACCTAGAAAGTAGAAATTAAAAAAAAAATAAATTACCCTGAATAAACCAAACTTGACTACATTAATTTTCATGTTAACATCATTAACCATCCTCAAAAATACGTTTATTCTCTCTGACACCCACCAATTAGGACTGCTCTTTCATTAAAAGAATAATCATTTGAGTTTTATTTCAAATGTGCTAAAATCCTAAGTAAGAAATCTGTCAATATCTACGAAGAAGGAACCTGGTGATGTGATGAGGCCTGCAGTGTATTTGAGTGTAGACATTATGCCCATGTAGCAATTTGCATCATTTATCCCCTGAACTGAACTGGGTGAGAACTGCCATCCTTAGCCCTTTCAAGCATTAGCTCTAAAAGGAAATAAGAATTGAAATTTCAGCTGTTTCAAATTTTGCTGAGTAAGAAGAGTTTGGGATAATTGAATATTCTAGAGTACTAGATATTAGGGGCCATAGCACATATCTTTTCATATTTTCCTTTTCTATTTTTTGCTTCCATCCCTGTCCCTCTCTAGTTTCTTTTCTTCTTCTATTGTTGTTTTTAAAGTCACAATTTCATAGTTATATCATAAAAAATTTCAAACCTGTTGGTGAAGAATGCCACCAATGGAAAATTCCTGTCATGTGTTTCTACAAAAACATTCTGTACCAAAAGATTTGGGCAACAACTATGCTGTTAAAAAAAAAAAAAAAATTAAAACAGAGGTTAGATACAGCATACAGTGTGATGTCTTGTTCTTTGAAGCATTAGAATACCATTGTTTCCAACAAAGCTCGCTTATTTTTGTTTCTTTTGCTTTTCTGTTGACTAATATGTAAATTATCATAGCTCACTACAATCCAGTTAATAGTAGGAGTCTATTCAGAAAAGCCTGTCACATTCTTATATCCTGCTGGTAGAAATGCAAAATGGTATAAATCCCTAAAGAAGATAATTTGTCAAGATCATTCAATATTATAAAAGCATGTATCTTTTGATTCAGTAATCCCATATTTGATAATGTATTCTATAGATACAGCTATACATATACCTATGTGTAAGATTATTCATCAAGCATTGTTTTAACAGTAAAAGTTTGGAAACAACCCCAAAGAATATCTATATCTATCTATCTATATATACATATATATGTATATAAAACCCTAATATGCAAATAGACCGAACGGCAGAACTGGTCACTATGACGTGTGCTGACCACCAAGGGACATGTGCAGAACATGGCGAGCATCAGCCACGGCAGGATGGTGGAGCAGGTGAGTGGCGGCGCCAGACTAAGGTGGGGCACCAGTTGCCATGATTGGGGTGAGCCTCTGGTGGTTACTGAAAATTCTTTGCTCCTGCGTGCTGTGGTCCCGTCCACTTGCACCTGCAGCCGGCACTGGAGTCGCCGCTCGCACCCACTGCCAGCACCTGGCGCCGGTCCTGATCACTTGGTGCTGTCAGCTGGTGCCAGCCCCAATTATTCCACGCTGTCAGCAGGTGCGAGTGGGGCCAGCGCCGTCAGCATGTGGGAGCAGCAGTGGTGGGAGCGGGGCTGCTGGCAGAAAGGGGACTGGGGCCGCTGCTGGAGGGGCTGGGCGGGGGCATGGAGGATGGGCTGAGACCCACCCCTGTGCCCACTGCAGCCTCGCAGCCCACAGTTCCTTTCAAGGTGCATGAATTCGTGCACTGGGCCCCTAGTCTAAAGAGAATTGGTTAAATAAACTTCAGTATATCAACACAAAAGAATTCTATACAGCTATGAGCAAAAAAAATGAGGAGCTCTCTCTGTGTAGTGATATGGAAAGATCTCCAGGGTACATTGTTAATTTAAAAACACGGTATAGGACAGTGACAACAATATGCTATCTTTTACGTAAGGACACATATTTATATTTACTTGTATTTGCATGAAGAAACACTGTAAGAATGAAAGAGAAAGTAATACAAATTATTACTATAGGTGGCACGATAAATGTGGATATAGTATTTCTCACAGTATGTTTCTTTTTCTAACAAAACATAAAAGTTTAATATGAAAGACTGTCTATAACCAGAGTTTTACATCATAGTGAAGAGGCCCTTTGGAAAGGGGACATGTGTAAGCACTGCTGAACATAACCATTACTTATACTTGTTCCAACAGTATCTACAGATGATGATGCTATTTCCTCCTATTACCACCCACCATTCTAATATTGTTCTATTGCCATCTCCACACATTCATCCATCACCAGATTCATAAAAGAATCAAATCCCCACGATATTCCTTGGACATGTGGGCAAGCTTTTCATTTCAATGATAATAACTTCCTGTCCATACATTTTAAAATTTGAGCCAATGAGCTTCACTCATGGTGCTTACTCGGCAGGCTTAGAGCTACCTTGAAACAGAATTCTATTTAGCTATATGTATGTATTCTGCATGGCTTATTATTTTATTTCAATTTTTAAATCATATCAATGTATTATCTAGGTAGAAAAATTAAATTAAAAAAAAAAGAGCAAGATAAAGAAAAAAAGGAAGAGCCTGTTTTTGTTGTTTTTTCTCCTACAAACAAAGGAGGGACCTGGCTCATGTGCTGATTGGGAGAGGTGAAACCAACTCAATCGTGTATGTACAGCCACCATTCAACATAACTGATGGGAAATAAAGCCATGAGAGTCCTTTGCTGGGGATCCTTATTTAATGGATTTCCTGACATGTTTGGCAGCAGTGTAGAAGCAGTCAAAGTGGAATAGAGAACAGCAGTTGGGGGACAAAGAAGGGGAAGAGATCATTTTATTCCTTGTTAATCAAGTATTCTAACTAGGAAAGAAAAAACCAAATTAGCAGATTCACCTAGCAAGGAAAAAGTTCTTTGGTTTTATTTATTTTTTAAAATATATTTTCATTGATTTCAGAGAGGAAGGGAGAGGGAGAGATAGATAGAAACATCAATGATGAGAGAGAATCATTGATCGGCAACTTCCTGCATGCCTGACACTGGGGATCAAGCCTGCAACACGGGCATGTGCCCTGACCCGGAAATGAACCATGACCTCCTGGTTCATAGGTTGACACTCAACCATTGAGCGACGCTCGCCAGGCAAGCTCTTTGGTTTTAAAGATTTTCTGACTTACTAATATGTTTTCTTCTGATGGCAGCTGAATTACATGTAAAATTATCAGTGCACATAAATTTCAAACCGTTCAAATGTCACATTTAAAGAGGCACTGAGCTTACCTTAAAGACGTCAAAGGAAATGCTTATGAGAATCATGGGCCATGCATGCTTCCCTTCCTTCACCTTTATTTTATGGGAAAAGTCAAAGCTGCCCATCCACTAATCCCTTCCCACCGGGAGGAAGAAGAGCTCTGATACAGACAATAGAGAACAATTAAGGCCGCATCCAGGGGACAATGTGCTATAGTGGACCTTTCCAAACGATGTGAGGAAGGATCAAAGTCCTTGTCCTCCTTCCATGACTCTTCACTCTCTTGGATATGATAAGCAGACAAAGTGGAGTCCAGAGATCAGGGAGCCATGCAGAAGGGCCTGGCTCAGCTCTCAAACAGATGGTTCAGGGTTTCCCCATGGTTCAGTCACTAAAGACTGGAAAGACTATATAGACTGATAAGAACAGATACTACACTTGATCTTAGCCAAAAGGCCGAGAAGCGATGAAAGACTATATAGACAATGGGACTAAAGGTTGAAGGAGATTTCTTTCCCTTATAGGATTCCTGGGAGCATATAATCTTTGATAATGCCTGATAGTAGGAGGCAGGATAGAATAAAAGTCACAAGGTAACGTCAATTTCACCTTACACAAGAGATTATAACCAATAATACAAATTACTCCTCTTATCATGAAGATAACTGGAGTCTTAAGTGTTAATTAACCTTGAAATCAAAGGAATCATACATAATTCTCTATATAAATGAAATAAATCTTCTTACATATATCCCAAACATACACACAAACAGAAAATGACTATGGTTTGGGAATTTAAAAAAAGAGGATAGTTATATGCAATATTCTGATAAATGTACTGGTTTTCTACACTAAACCATGAAATCACTCAAAACTTACTAAAAGTAAGTAAAATAAATACCTACAACTGATTTTTTTGAACTATTAGAGGCATCTCTGAAGAAGAGCTACTGTATTATATAAGACTCAAAAGAGAAACTTATTCTATGTGTCCCACTGTGATTTTTTTTTTGGAAGTAATAAATCTTCCAATAAATGTAAATAATTTTCTTACATACCATTTATATAATTTTCTTAAGCAAAAGCAAATGTTTAACAATGTGCCAGGTACTGTTTAAGCACTTTACATACTATATATAACTCATTTAATCCTATGAGTAAGTTATTATTATTATCCCCATTTTATAGAAGTCAGAAATAAGGTATGAGGTCAAGTAACATGTCCAAGGTCATACAAGTGAAAAACTGGCATCCTAATCCAGGTAATCTGGCATTAGAATTTGTTAATCATATTTTCCTTATAATTTTATTAAAAAGCACAAACACAAATGTTTAGAGATATAAATCTCAGCTGATATACTCACATTAAGAAAGCGGCCCACATTTCCTTCCTTTGTGGCATCCAATAAAAACACTCTTCCTTTACTGAACTTGAGAGATTCACATGAAGTATTATTCTTGGTTTCACCTGGCAACTCTTTATTACAAAAGACATAATGGTTTTGACATGCTGGAGAGTTTTCCTCTTGGGGCTTTAGTATTTGAACCTCAAACTTCTTCATAATATTCTGATTATCCAGTGTGGTTGCTTGGTTACATATGCCCCCTGGTGAAGTTTCTTCTCTACCTTTAGTTATATCTATCACATCTGATTCAATCAGCAAATTGTCTTCAGAATCTTCAACTTGATTTGAGCTTGAGTCCACTAATAAACATTTTAGAAAGAATCGTCAGGAAATATACTTGGCTAAGCAATAGTGCTAAGATTAACAATGCTAATTAAATGCTAGTTGCTTTAATTACCACTAATCCTTAAAATGTGTTAAGGCAGACAGCACTCCAATTTTATATATGAAAACTTTGAGCCTCTGAGGGATTAAGGGATTCACCTGACCCACAATAATAAAGAAATTGGGTAACAAACTCAGAAATGTCTGGTTCCAAAGTCTGCCGTCTTTCTACTACATAACAATGCCTTTTAATGAACTTACATGTTGCTTCCTGACTTCTCTTCAATTTTGGATTCCGAATTTAAGTATATTCTAAATTTTTAAAAATTGATTTTAGAGAGAGAGGGAGAAAGCAGGAGGGAGGGAAGCGGGAGAAGAAAGTGAAGGAGGGGGAGGAGAGAGAAGGGGGGAAAGGGAGGAAAGGGAGGGAGGGAGAAAGGGGGGAGGGAGGGGGAGAGAGAGAGAGAGAGAGAGAGAGAGAGAGAGAGAGAGAGATCGATCCATTTGTTGTCCCATTTATTTATACATTCATTGGTTGCTTCTTGTATGCGCCCTGACCAGGGATCAAACCTGCAACCTTGATGTATGAGAATGCTCTAACCCAGTGGTCAGCAAACTGCGGCTCTTTGGCCCCTTGAGTGTGGCTCTTCCACAAAATACCACGTGTGGGCGCGCATGTACAGTGCGATTGAAACTTCGTGGCCCATGCCCAGAAGTCGGTATTTTGTGGAAGAGTCACACTCAAGGGGCCAAAGAGCCGCATGTGGCTCACGAGCCGCAGTTTGCCGACCACTGCCAACTAAACAATCCAGCCAAGGCTAAGTATATTCTAAACAGCTGTAACAGTAGTTTGTAGGGAACACTCCAGGCCTTTAAGACACCAAAGGCCTGAAAAGACCCTGTCGAAGTCATCCTCTACAATAACTGTATTGCTATAACTTTTGCTGGCACGCAAAACCCTCTCTTATAATCTTCCATTTACAATTTTTTTCTTAATATTGACTTTTTTATTTTTCAGATAAATTCAGTGTAGGTGTACCTTAGATAAATAAATAATTTTACGTAACAAGTGATCTTAAAGACCATAGACATGGATTGACGAGAGAGGGGAAGAACAGTTTCTATGCCTCTGCCTTAACTCTCCCTGCCTTCCTAGATCCGACCAGTGTTTTGGTTTCATCCACATACGCTTGTGAATCTTTGTTCTCAGTGATGAATTTTGTTAAGTCTCGTTATAGGAGTAGCCTGACAGATGAAAATAGTAGCTCGTGCATATCTCTGAAGGTCACCAAATATAAACCTGATGTAAAATCTCTGTCATCAGTGTTGCAGCAGCAAAAGTCTCACTGATAATATCAAACGGAGTCATAAAGTTTTCTGTCGGACTATCAATGTACATGTATACATTAAAAAATAAACGTATTTTTCATCATCATATACTGTGTTTTTGTCGCTCGAATGAATTTTATTATTTCTTCAAGGTTCTTCACATACGTACACCTTAAGAGATATCAAGTAGGCGTAACATGTTCTCAAAATATTAGGGTTGGCATGCAGAAGAATTTTGAGTCAAAGATTTTGCTGGTTTTGGCAAGCACTCACAAAAAGGTTGCCCACCCCTGCTATAGGCTTTGTACACATTAGTGTTTGGTGTGTATTCTAGATGACCATTCAATAATCACACTTTTACAAACAATAATACTTTAGAAGAAGATTAACTGCTTAATCATTTTTAGAAATAATTTTTTAGAATATTCAAAAGTATGAATGCATGTCAAATGAAATAAATCATTTATTTTTAATAAAACTTGTACCACATCAGTGGCATGAAGAAATAGTATTTCTCTATGTTATTGATTTAATCATTACTATTAGTGGCTGCTGTTCCTATACATACTCATACTTTAATCATAGATTACTTGTGAGCACTAACAGTAAATAACTATTTTTTTTCTTAGTGCCTCCTATATACATTATAGTGATCGATGAAAATGGCAAAACAACCAAAAGCAATAGCACTCATTATGATTCACATGCATTTAAATGGTGAAGGAAATCAGAATATGTCATCCCAAAATATGCCGCTTTGACATAAGAATTATTTAAATACCACATGTAGAAAAAGCTCTCTGCCTCCCCCTATTCTGCCTAAAAGCAGGATATAAATTTACAAAGGTGTGCCTTCTCCTACTAGAAAGGACAAAAGTTAATCACCGGTGACAATTTTAGACCTTTATTATCCATGAGATTGAGCCAGAGAAATCTAGGAAACAAACTTTACTAACTAGTCTGTATCTACCATTGGTTTCCCATATATTTGCCTTCCCACAATTTGCCACCCCTAAAGACTAAAGGTCCTTTTCCTTTGTCTTGCTATGCCTCTAAAAATTTATTGTTCTTTGGCTAAGATTCTAAATAAGCAGGAATTCTAAACCACCTCTGAGTTACTCATCTCTGAGTATAGCAGTCCCCCCTTTATATGTGGGAAATACATTCCAAGACTCCTAGTGAATGCCTGAAACTGTGGCTAGTACTGAATCCTATACTGTTTTTTCCTACACATACATACCTATGAGAAAGTTTAATTTATAAATTAGGCACAGTAGGAGATTAAAAATAAATAGACTAATTATAACAATATACTGTAATAAAAGTTATATGAATGTGTTCTCTCTCAAAATACCTTATTGTAATGTACTCCCCTTCTTGTGATGATTTGAGATGGTACAATGCCTATGTGAGGAGATGAAGTGAATGATGTGGACATTGTGATGTAAAGTTAGGCTACTATAAGGTTTACTTGAACATAATCACTGCAATATTGCAACAGTCAATCTGATCAATGAGATGGCTACTGAGGCAAGTAGCATATATAGTGTGGATACTCTAGATAAAGGGGTGTCCTAGGTAGTATGGAGATGACACAAGATTTCATTATGCTACTCATAATGGCATGCAATTTAAAACTTATAAGTTTATTTCTGGAATTTTCCATTCAATATTCCTGGGCTGTGGTTAATGCGGGTAACTGAAACCATAGAATGTGAAACAGTGGATAAGGGGGACTACTGTAGTCCCTTGTGTTACATGTACAATACACATGATGATAGTAATAAACTTCTGTTTGTTTTGTCAGTCTAATTTACAGGACCCCTGCCAGTCAACATAAGATAGGGAGAGGAAGAGAGTTTTACCTCCCCTACAAGGTGAAATAATTACAATACATAAATGCCTTCTCTTGATAGGCCTTTTCAGTCAAGTAGTTTCCTTGCCTCCTCCAATCTCCATCCTTTGAGACCAGGCAGAGAAATGGGAGTGCAGACAGATATAAGGAAGCTCAAAAGAAGAGGTAATGAGTCATCTCTCAGCAATGTCTCCCCACTCAGGGATATAGTGAAATGCAAAAGGACCCAAACCCAGGTTTGTCAAGTTGTAATATTAGCTATGGCAGGGTTGGTAACACTGAAATACAAGAACTCAGGGTAGCAATATTTTCACTTTTTGCTGAGCATCCTCAGCAGCAGTGTTGGCTGGAATACTGCAGTAGAATGCAGTGGGGTTTTTGTTTTTTTTCTTTTTCTTTTTAATGCTGTATATTTTTAAAGGAGCCCCCAACAAGTTAGGAAATGGCTGCTTTGGACAATGCCTCCAAAGCCACAGATAACACTGTGGACAATGTAAACTAACAGTTGTGCACCCCACTCCTTCCTGCCATGTCAGGTCACGGGTGGCATCTAGATGAGGGACCAGCACACTTCTATACGAGTCTAAATAGTAAATATTTCAGGCTTTTTTTGGCCATATGGCTTTTGTCATGATTATTTAGCTCTGCTGCTATAGTGTGAAAGTAGAGACAATATGTAAATGAATGAATGTGGTGGCTATGTTTTCAATAAAAACTTTATGGACACAAATTAAAATTTCCTATAATTTTCAAGTGTCATAAAATATTATTCATCTCATTTTTATCAGTTATTTAAAAAGGTAAAAATCATCTTAGCTCATAAACAGATGGTAGTCTAGATTTGGCCCACAAACATAGTTGCCAACCTGTCAATTTTAGACAAGCAGTAACTTTTGTGATGAATGCAGCATGTTTGTTTTGGAATCTGAGAAAATGAGCCACAGATACTGAGCAAGACAGACAAAAAGGCAGAAGAGACGGGCAGAGTTAAACAAAGCCTACTTTTCATCTCTTTGGCTTTAGAGTTCAGATGTACTTGGGTTGGTTTAAATCCATCATTATCTTCAAAGGTGGCAGATTCTGAGGAAGCAAATCCCTTAAAAGAAAACAAGGAAGATGTTACCTCCTAGGTCAGGAAAAGGAATTTAATTTAGTGCTTAGGCCTCTTTTATCAAGTGTCAATCTTCATAGGCTGTAGCTACTACACTGGTTTTGAAAGCCGCACTCCTGATATCATAAGGAAACTTAGGAGTGATGGAGCCCTTTTGGCTGTTCTACTTGTAGGCATGTCAGTTAGGCTACAGCTATGAAGACCAGAAAAACAGTCAAAGCATTAAAACACAAAATAAAATTAAAATACATCTGTTGTATCTCTTAATTCTGATACCAGACTATGAATTTGGATAAAAACACTCTGGCTAGTTTCTACTTCCAAAAAATGGTTTAATAAGTTGCCTAGACACTGCAGTGACTTAAAATGGTGATAACTTTTAAAAAGTGTTATCTGCTTAAGCACAACACATGACACAACTAACTGCTCAGTAAAAGTTGACCATTAATGTTATTCAAATACTTAAATGGTCAACATTTATTGAGCACTAACCCAAGAGTCAAACATGTTTCTGATGTTTACCTCACTTAATCCTCCTGATTTTAGATACTATTATCCTCATCTAACAGATAAAGAAATGTAGAAACGGAGATGTCACCCAGCTAGAAAGCAGCAGAACTGGAGTTCAAGCCCAGCTCAGAGTGATCCCCTGGCTCAACTTTTTCATAATTATGTATGTGATACTGAGGATATTCCTACTGTAGGTTAGTAGGCAGAAGGCAAAATTTGCAAACTACCCAAAGCAGAGTTATTATCTTCATCAAAGCCCTATGTGAACTACCATTATGTCCGCCTCTCTTCTTTTTACTGCATCTTTCTCTGTTCCTAAATTACAGTCTCTGACTAGTTATTCTAGATTGAAAACTACCTTCAGTGGCTATCATGTAAAATGTTGCTTTCTGGATGACCTTTCATTAGGTTACAACTCTTCTTTTTCATGCATTTCACAACCTTATCTCCTTAACCTAAATTACTCCATCCTTTTTCTTTTTTTAAAAAAAATAGATTTTATTGATTTTTTTTTACAGAGAAGAAGGGAGAGGGATAGAGTTAGAAACATTGATGAGAGAGAAACATCGATCAGTTGCCTCCTGCACACCCACTACTGGGGATGTGCCTGCAACCAAGGTACATGCCCTTGACCGGAATCGAACCTGGGACTTTTCAGTCTGCAGGCCGACACTCTATCCACTGAGCCAAACCAGTTAGGGCCTCAATCCTTTTTCTTAATATTTTTCTTATTATTATTATCAACTCACACACTTTAGCTTCTATAAATTCACAGAACAGGATGTCCCTCAGTCTCAGTGGAACACACTAACCATTATGGAGGATACTAAGTAAATAAAATGTGATTAGTAACACTTCAACAGTATACCCATTTCAAAACAGTAAAATAAATCCTACACATTAAATAGCACAAACAATTTGAACTAAGTAAAAGATAGAAAGGTGAGATAATAGTTAATATTCTCAGAAGGACCCCATCTACATTTTGCAGTTTTTACCATCTTTTTCCCATCGGGTTGAATAATGGCTATCTTGGCTTCTGGAGTTCTAATGACTGAATGACACTGAATTCTTGAAATATTGTTATATTTCATTTCTCTGAAAAGAAAAGAAAAAGTTATTCTAGATAATATCAATGTTATAGAAATATCCATTAGAAATTAATGTAAGTAATAATATCTATGCCTCACCCTTACCAGAAGAGAATATAATAATACTAGAGGCCCAGTGTACGGATTCATGCACTGGTGGGGGGCGTGGCCTGCGGGGATCAGCCTGCTGTGGGAGCACTGCTCATCCTGGTCAGCTGAGCGGCTTGGACCCGCCCTCTGAGTGGCTGCTCCCACTGTGGGAGTGCCATTCATCCTGGTCAGCTGAGTGGCTCCCACTGTGGGAGCACAGTGACCACCAGGGGGCAGCTCCTGTGTTGAGTGTCTGCCCCCTGGTGGTCAGTGCGTGTCATAGCAACTGGTCACATGGTTGTTCTGGTCATTCCACCATTTGGTTGCTGGGCTTTTATATATATAGACTAGTGACCCAGTGCATGAAATTTGTTCGGGGGGGGGGGGGGAATGTCCCTCAGCCCAGCCTGCACCCTCTCCAATCTAAGACCCCTTGGGGTCAGTCAGACATCCCTCTCGTAATCCGGGACCGCTGGCTCCTAACTGCTCACCTGCCTGCCTGCCTGATTGCCCCTAACCACTCTGCCGGCCTGCTCGACCCCAACTGACCCTCCCTGCTGGCTTGCTCACCCCTAACTGCCCCCCCTTGCTGGCCTGCTCGGCCCCTGCTGCCCACCCCTGCCGGCCTGCTCACCCCCAACTGCCCCCCACCCCCCGCCGGCCTGCTCACTCCCAACTGGTCCCCCCTGCCGGCCTGCTCGCCCCCAACTGGCCCCTCCATGCCACCCTGCTCACCCCCAACTGGTCCCCCCTGCCGGCCTGCTTGCCCCCAACTGCGCCCCCCCCCCCCCCCCGGCTGGCCTGATCACCCCCAACTGTCCTCCCCTCCTGGCCTGATTGCCCCTAACCACCTCTGCCTCGGCCCCGCCACCACGACTTTGTCTGGAAGGATGTCCGGAAGGTCTCCCGGTCTAATTAGCATATTACCCTTTTATTAGTATAGTTTTTAAAGTCAATGACATTTTAAAATATGTCAAAAAAAGAAGAAAATCATCAAAAAGTATTGGAAATAGATGGTGATAGAAAATAAACATAACTGCAAAGCACAAGATCCATAAAGAACCTGATTAAAGTCATCAAGTTTTTAAAGGTTAAACTCCAGAAATGCAACACTGAAGAAATAGTGTGTTCACTAGATTTTTAAATCTCAGTGTCCTTGATTTCTCAGTGTTAAACTTATAACTGTGAAGCAAGTTTATATACAGGAGGGATATGGGAGTGGGGGGAAGGAAGGAAGGAAGGAAGGAAGGAAGGAAGGAAGGAAGGAAGGAAGGAAGGAAGGAAGGAAGGGTGGGAGGGAGGAAGGACAGCTGAACAACCACTCTTGACCAATAATACAGATCAATTTTTGATTGGGTTCCTAAGATCTTACTTACATAACAGGCTCTTCTGGATTATTATTGAACTTAGGTGAACATTCTTCACTCTTAGCACTTCTAGGACATGTTTCCAATTTTAAAGGGATAGCTTCAACTTCACAATCTGCAACTTCTATTTTCCTCTTTTTTGAAAACGTATTTTTCATAATATTGTCTTCTTCTCTATTTTCTCCAACAGTATCACATTTCTCAGTGTTAGATCTACTTAGTAATCTTCCTAGCAGAAAGTAAGGGAGTTTAGCAGGACAAAAGATAATACAATAATTGCTAGGCAACAAAAGGGCGTCTCTATTATTCTTCATTACTAAAGAACCCTGTGAGATGTACCTTATTTCTAGAATGAAGATAAACACATTAATATCCTAGAAAACCTCTGCAAGAAATAATAAGAGACCAGTAAGAAATTCTCTATCTTCCAGTATATGAAAAAATACAGTACATTTAAAAAAACAACACTTGTCTGTTTTGGTATAACATGAAAGAAAAGAGGTTCAGCTACAATAATATAAAACAAAAATATAGATCAGAAAGCATTTTACAAATTAGAGCGGTGAACTCTAGCCTTGATACTACAACTTTGGTGTCTCGTTAAAAATGTTTTATCATTTAACATCAATACTCTTTTTATAAAGTTACCTATTTAAATCTGCGGTGATATGTGCCTACTGTTCTCATATTAAGTCCTAGTGTAACATTAAAATCTGAGTCTAAAGTTTATGTTTCTCCCCCTACCCCACCCCCCAGGGACTCAAAACTACAATTACTACAATTACTAAGTCAAAGGAATCAGAGATTCCTTAGTTGCATTTTCTAACGAAGCAGATAAAGACAATTCTTCCTGGATACTATTTGGCATTGTATAGACAGCAGACTTCCATCAGAGTTATTTTGAGAAATATGAGAAACAACTGTCTAGATAAGTTGTATGTCTATAGAGTGGTATGTGGCAAGGATCCAAGTGTGACTACTTTGAATTCTGATAATTCCTGCCCTCACTGAAGTGAACCCAGAAATTCAAATGAGAAAGTTTGCTCTGGTCCCTGCTGCCTAGTTGCAAAGACTCAGTCCAGCACATTTCCTTTAGACTGGTTAGAGCCACGTTTCCTCCACTCTCCTCACTTCCTGGTAAATAGAGAGCGTGAGGATCCTTGCTGACACGCTTGAGTAACTAATCAAGACCACTGGAGACTGACATGGCTGGCCTGGGGGTTGTGGACCTAAGGAATCAATAACTGCGTGACGGTAACCCCTAGGGCAGTGGTTCTCAACCTTGCTGCACATTAGAATCACCTGGGAATCTTTTTAAAATCTTGATTCTGGGCCTCATGCTCCGAAATTCTGTTTCTTTGTTATGGGGTGGGGCCACAACATTAGTAACAAAGAAACAGAATTTCCGGAGGATGAGGCCCAGAAACCAGGATTTAAAAAAGATTCCCAGATGATTCTAATGTGCAGCCAAGGTTGAGAACCACTGCTCTAGGTAGGGTCTCTGAAATGGAGTGAGCTGCCTGACATCACTGCCCAACTCACCACACATAGGTATTTATTACAAAACGACCTTATTAAATTCTAATAGCCCAAAGCACTGAATAAGGTAGTCTCTGATTGATAATTCAGTAATTTAGCTTTCCTATTTAAAAAGTTTTCTATCTGTATGAGTCCAAAGCATTTGTAGCCATGAAAACAAAATAAAAAAAAATAAAAAAATGTGCCTCACACAATAACTCAGATTTTTATCTCTGAGCCTTTCTGAAACATCTGGTGCCTCCTGAAGCACCTCTTCCCTTTAGAAGTCAGTTTCCCAGTAACTTTCCTTACTCTGGTGCTCCTCCTCTACACTGTTCCTCTTGTCCTTGCTATACGATCTCATGGCCCTGTCTAGTAAAATGGAGATTCAGAAGTGTAGATCTTACTCTATAGTAATTTGAAAATAAACCCTTGCGTTACCTGAGTAAGTGCAAACAAATGTCCCTCTGTCAATGTCATCTAGGCAGCGTACTCCCCATCCCTTCTTCTCAGTTTTGAACACCTGTAGCCTCACTTGAAGTCCATGCTGAACTACTCGGTTTTGACACATTTGTCGATTACACTTGCACAACAGGCTGCATTCATAAATGCTGTCAATAAAATATCCAAGAGAAAATCAATCAGGCTTCCTTAATTAAAACAAAAAGCACATTATAGCGCTACCTCACTAATAATCACAGACTAAGGGTGAAGGAAGTTTCCTAGAGCTAGACTGCCTGGGTTCCCATTATAGCTCCAGCATTTACTAGCTGTGTGATCTTGGATGAGTTATTTAGCTGTCTGTGCTTTAATTTTCCATTTTTAAAATGGGGATTATATGATAGTTTGTATCATATATATATACCTGAATATATATACGATATATAAAGTATCACAGGGTTGTTTCGTGAAGATTACACAAGTCAACGTTTATTAGGTGCTTGGGACAATACCTGGCACATAGTAAATATCAGCTCTTTAAAAATGTCTAAGAAGTAAATGTATGGGAAGGCAATGTTTAGGAAGAAAAATGTTTTGTTTGTTTATTTTTTAATAACAACCTTGAAATGGTGAAAATTCCCAATTCTTAGAAGTGTTTTGCACAGGATATTTCTTAATGAGGAAAAGGCTGCCCCAGGTAGGCTAACTCTAGAGGGATAAGAGCTAGACTCAAAGCAGAGGAGTGTTCTGTTTGACTATACCCTTTATGATACATGTGTGGTCTCTGACTTTCATTTCTAAAAACAATATGCAGGTTTTTTTTATTTTTAATTCCTTAATTTAGATTTTGGGTACAAAAATATTAAGATTTAACATCTATAAGACTATAGACCACAATAGTAAAGTATCCACCTTTAACTATACAAACACCCTGGAACAAATCCTTAAGGTATATTACCCAGTAGGTATATGTCTCTGTAGTCTTTTATATTTATATCCAACGGCTATTTTATCTCTTGACAAGGAGTAAATCTCAGCATTCCTTGCTGTCATTTGAAGACATGCACATTTTGTTCTAAAAAGGAAGGCAATGAATGGATAAGTCAGAATTTAAAAAGCACCAAGTGAAGTAAAGACTGTCTTGATTAAAGTGTAAAAGTTATAGTAAAGGATGTCATTGTATTTATGACAACTGTTTGCCTCATGGACAGTTGAACTTCTTCCTAAATAGAGCTTTTTGAAAGAGAATATCTACCAAAAGTTTATAAATAATTATAAACTGTCCTATCTGCTCATGAAATAAATACTTAACTATGTAAGTGTTCTTTAACTTTTCAAAATGAATTCCTTTCATTTTCTGTTCAGCAGAAGCTTGTTTGTGAATATTCTCCCAGGTACACTCTCTTAGAATGGATAAATTTATGTGTGTCAAACCCAAAAGAGTGTACATAGTTTTGCAGATGTCTTAAGTTACCTTCCTTTCCAATGACATGAAAAGAGATTAGGGAAGCTGATACTGGGTATCTGGTTACCGCAGTTTGTTCTTTATAATGTTGCTAAACAAGAAAAATACAACCATAAAAGAATTTCCCCTCTGTTTAAATGATTATCTAACATGAGAAGAGACTTATAACTTGATAGGGAGTAAGGAACCTGGGTATCTCAGATGTAAACTGAGTATGTGACTACTGGTGGGCTGGTTAAACTCTCTGGATCTATCTCTATTTTCAACAAGTGACTGAGGTCTTTTCCTCAATGATTCTCTTCTGTGTTTTTCTGTATATACATACATGCATAAGAGTGGTGGCTACTGTTTACAACAGAAAAAAAAATCAACAACAAATTCATTAATTTGGATTCTATTTACAGATGTAGAAATCTAAAGATGCTTTTTTTGGATATGATTTTGTTTGCAAAGTTTAAAAGTACAAAAAAATACAAATAGTAACATAATTAACACTCACATTTCTACCACATAGAATTAACTGTCATCATTTTGTTTAGTCCTTCTTTTTCCTATGTATATAATTTAAAACATACACACTGTTGATCTGATCTTCTTTAAACAATAAAAAAATTAAACATTACAGATAAACTCTCAAGCGGTTTGGTGTGATATCCTTTATACTTTTAAACATATAGATCTATACACAATATACTGTACTGTTTTTAAATATTTACTGTAGTTATTATTCTTCAACTTGCTTTTTCTTTCAATATTATTTTTTTGAGACCTAATCGTGTTTTATGCAAATCTAGTTAATTCCTTTAAACTTTTCCATAGCATTTAGATATACAATTATGTTGCTTAATTAAATTGCTTGGTATACAATTAAGTTGCTTAAAGTTTTCAATATAACCGATGCTGCAATGAACATCCTATGCCTATATACATGTGTAAGCATCTCTAGAGTAGTAACTTTCAAATATTTTTTACTATGACCCATGGTAGAAAATACATTTTCTTCATGATCCTATACAATCATACATATTTATGTATGTGTACAGGTGTATAAACTGCAACAATGGTGGCATAAACTTCACCCTTATTGTGTGGGATGCATTTGAGTATCTTTTTGTACTATTTAATTTAAAAAATGCTAGTTACAACCCCTTAAATGATTTTACATGCCACTAACTCTATAGCTTGGAAAACAATGCTCTGGATAAAACAATACTCTGGATATACTTAAAAGTACTATTGCTGGAAAGTAGGTATGCACTTCTTCAACTGCTATGTCATGGTTTGAACACCCCACTCTCCCTGAAAAATGACTTGGTATGGAATTCTAGTTTTATATTTATTTTCCTTCAGTAATTTAAGCTAATCTATCTCTTTTTTTGTTCTATTATTTCTGATGAAAAGTGTGCTGTCAGTCTGTCCTTTTTTCTGAGTTTTTAAAATTTACTCTTTACCCAAGATACTTTTTAAGTTGCATCAATATATTTAGATTTATCTTATTTTCAAAGGCTTTTTGACTCTGAGGATTCCTATCTTTTTTCAATTTGGAAAATTCTCAGCTATTATTTGAGTGTTGTCCTTTTCTTCACTACATATGTATATTGCAGTTTTTCATTTTATTCTCCATATTTTTTTTTTTTTACAAAAGTATGATTTTATTCATTTCCTTTAATAAATATTCTAAGTGCCAAAAACATTATGTCACCATCATTATCATCATCATTTTTTTTTTTTTATTGCTTAAAGTATTACAAAGAGTATTACATATGTCTCCTTCTTTTCCCCCCCGCCCTTGAAAATCCCCTGGCCTCCCCTACCCCCCAGTGTCTTATGTCCATTGGTTATACTTATATGCATGCATACAAGTCCTTCGGTTGATCTCTTACCCGCCCCCCTCCTGCCCTCCCACCCTCCCTGGCTATCCTCCATATTTTTTAATCTGTAACTTATTTTCCCCATATCTTTATCTCTTTACATTCTGAGAGATCTTAGTTTTTGCCATGAAATTCACTTATTCTTTCTCCAACTATACCAATGCAAACATTTAGTGCATCTATTTCATTTTTTATTTCAATGACCATATATTTTATTTCCCATATTTCCAATGGTTCTTCTTCATATATACCATTAAAAATAAAATCTCCTTTTCTTGTCTCATAGATGCTAATATTTTAGCTTTTTAGACACTTTAAACACAGCTACTGTAAAGTCTTTTTCAATCAAATTCTACATTTATCTCTGATTCTTCAGATGTGAATTTTATCAGTAGTTGTGACTCAAAGGTCCTAAACACCTTTGTGTGCTGTGACTGTCTGGATTCGATCCAGCTTAATCCTGTTTGTTCTAAAATTACATATAGTCAAGTTATTCTTTTTAAAAAAGTCCCTTAAACTGACTATAAAGTAGAGTAAACACTGTCCAACAGCCAGTTTTTTCTCCAGCACTGAAAGAGATTGAGCTTAGCCAGATATAGTTGGGTTATACCTAGAGGCAATGTTTAAAACGAACAAACTTATTTTTAAACAGAAGTAAAACTTGGGCCCACCTCAGAACAAAAGATACACTGAGAGTGAAGAAATGGGAAAACATGTTCCATGCAAATGGAAAGGAGAAAAGAAAAACAACAACAACTAGAGTTGCAACACTCATATCAGACAAAATAGACTTCAAAACAAAGGCCATAATAAGAGACAAAGTAGGCCACTTCATAATTCTAAAGGGAATGAAGCAACAAGAAAATAGAATCCTTATAAACATATATGCACCCAATATAGGAGCCCAAGTACATTAAAAAACTCTTGATGGACATGAAGGGAGAGATCAACAGCAATACAGTCATAGTGGGGGAATTTAACATCCCAATGACATCACTGGATAGATCTTCTAGACAAAAAATTAACACGAAAACAGAGGCCTTAAATGACACTAGCCCTAGCCACTTTAGCTCAGTGGATAGAGCATCAGCCTGTGGACTGAAGGGTCCCAGGTTCAACTCAGGTCAAGGGCACATGCTCGGGTTGTGGGCTTGATCCCCAGTCAGGGCACATACAAGAGGCAACCAGTGAATGCACGGACAAGTGGAACAACAAATCAATGCTTCTCTCTCTCCCTCTCTCTCTCTCTCTCTCATAAGTAAATCAATTAATTAATTAAATAATTAATTTTAAAAAATGACACCCTAGATCAGATGGGTCTAACCGATATTTACAGAACACTTCAACCCAAACCAACAGAATATACATTCTCAAGTGCACATGCAACATTCTCAAAGATATACCACCTGTTAGGGCACAAAACAAATCTATACAAATTCAAGAAGATTGATATAATACCAAGCATCTTCTCAGATCACAATGGTGTGAAGTTAGAAATCAAGTACAATTAAAAAAACAACAACCTCAAAAACACTCAAATACAGGGAGGCTAAATAACATGTTATTAAACAATGAAATGGGTTCCCAATGAGATCAAGCAAGAAATTTAAAACTTCCTGAAAACAAATGAAAATTAACACACAACCACCCCAAACTTATGCAACACGGCAAAAATAGTCCTGGAAGGAAGTTCATAGCATTACAGGCCTACCTCAAGAAACAAGAAAAAGGACTAATAAACTATCTAACACTAAGACTAAATGAATTAGAAAGAGAACAGCAAGAAAAGCCCAGAGGAAGTAGAAGGAAGGAAATAATTAAGATCAGAGGAGAAATAAATGACATAAAAACTAAAAAAAAAAAAAAAAAAAAAGTACAAAAGATCAATAAATCCAAGAGCTGGTTCTTTGAAAAGATAAACAAAATTGATGAACTTTTGGCCAGACTCATCAAGAAACAAAGAGAGAGCCCTAACCGGTTTGGCTCAGTGGATAGAGCATGGGCCTGCGGACCGAAGGGTCCCAGGTTCGATTCCGGCCAAGGGCATGTACCTTGGTTGCGGGCCATTCCCAGTAGGAGGTGTGCAGGAGGCAGCTGATCGATGTTTCTAACTCTCTATCCCTCTCTTCCTCTGTAAAAAATCAATAAAATATGTTAAAAAAGAAAAAGAAAAAAGAAACAAAGAGGACCCAAGCAAATAAAATTAGAGATGAAAAGAGGCAATATAACAACAGACACCAAATAAATATAAAAGATTGTAAGCAAATACTATGAACAACTATATGCCAACAAACCCGACAGCCTGGGTGAAATGGACAAATTCCTAGAAAGATACAATCTTCCAAAACTCAATCAGAAAGAATCAGAAAACCTGAGTAGGTCAATAACAACTGATGAAATTGAAGCAGTAATTAAAAAATTTCCAGCAAACTAAAGTCCTGGACTGGATGAACTTACAGGTGAATTTTACCAAACATTCAAAGAAAGAACTAACATCTTTCCTCCTCAAACTATTCCAAAAAATTCAAGAGGAAGGACCACTTCCAAGCTCTTTGTACAAAGCAAGCATTATCCTAATTCCAAAATCAGATAAAGACACTACAAAAAAAGAAAATTACAGCCCAATATCCCTGATGAACACAGATGCTAAAATCTTCAACAAAATATTATCAAATCAGATCCAGCAATACATTAAAAAGATCATACACCATGACCAAGTAGGATTTATTCCAGGGATGC